TCCAGTAAGAAAAGTAGGCCTAAAGAAATTTAGAGCTATGTACAGGTGTATCATTTTTTTAGGTGCGCCGCTGAACCTATGTCAGGTCAGGGTTTTTTTTATTACTGCACCACGTCATTTTAACCTAAAATGTGGTACATAATAATAATATGTACATACCAAGGCACTACAACACCATACTTTTCTGACAGGAAAAATATATCTAAATATAACAGTCAGATTTTAGAAAGATCTCAAAGAAGGTGGATGCACCACACTGGAATGAACCACCGCTAACCAACCTAGGTTTTCCAGATTCAGACTATAGTACGGCCAAAAGACATTCATGGCGCAACTTATCCTTAAACATCTCTTTAACGGGTGAATTAATGTCACCCAATAGTTTGCATCAATTTTTCCACAATAAATGAGGCTAGATTCAAAACTTCTCTCACACATGTTGCATACGTATATTTGGGGCCTGAGTCACTGGTCAATAATGATGCTCTTTAGTGGCAAAACTTCTCACAAGAATTAATCTTATATAATGAAACTGTTTTTGCATAGTGTCACGATTAGAAGAAAGTACGGGCTTGATTTTCAAAGCGGTATTGTCGCAGCTCCTGGGATGTAAACCTTTTAATATCTGTAGAAACCTCCAAATATAATTTTTTTAAATAAACGTTATTGGAATTTTCTATAAATTAGCTAACGGTTGTTTACAAAAAATGTTGATCATTTATATGTCATTGCGTAAAAAGCTTGAGGGTCTATGTTCGATTGTTTACAAAGCATTTGACTATAAGTAGCGCCACTACCTTTTGACCGCACTACAGACAAAAACATCACGAGCCAGTAAGAAGGAAAGTGTTAAGTATGTCCTCTTCAGCTCTTCTGGCCCTGACCAGAGCCAAACTGATTGTTAAGTAGGTCAACCCGTAACACATTCCGTCAGCTGGGAGGATCCGAGACGCGAAGATATAAATAAACAGTTCGTTTGTGTCCAGAACATACTGTGTTGTCAAGCCATGCCTGTAAACCTAGACGGTCAGAGAGATACGTAGTAAGAACGTATAGCTGTAAACCTATACGTTCTTATCTCGCTGACCGTCTAGCTGTAAACCCATGAAAGCAGAGGCCGCCGTGTCGTTTTCGTTTTTCTTCTTTGGCACATACACATTGAAAGGAGCATTGCACTATCATGAAGGATGTTTTGGGCGTTGTCTTTTTCCTTGTTAAATTTCTAAAAGGCGTTTGTAATACGCAATAGTGTGCACGTTGTGTATAGTATTTATTTGTCGTTTTGTTGACCAGGGATCTTATACAGACATAACTATTATGTAGTAGGTGTAACTTACACAGTTGATCAAAGAAATTCGATGTAAAGAAGAGGTAAGACGTAGGACGAAACTCTTTGCACTTTGTGTTTGGATAGATTTGTTTATTGTGTATATATATAAATAATATGTAGGTATGTGTATATT